TTTTTTTTAAGTATGAAAGCTTCATTCTTGGGTCATTTTGGAGCAACTGGCTAAAGCCTTTGCCTTTATCAGGCCATAGCATGTTCCCACCCAAACCTGTATCAACAGACCTTCTCTGCCTGTGGCCTCACAATGGCTGCCTGCAGCCTTTGGCCAAGCCTCCAGCTGTGCCAACCTGTACAAAAATTCCTTTCTAGATGCTGATCTGCTGTCACTGATTCCACTGCGGCTCATGATAGCCGCCACGGGCTGATGTCTAAGCTGATCCCAGATCTGCACCTATGAGAGCAAGCAGTGAACGGCTCTACACAGAACTCAAGCTATTAACCGCAGACGTTTACTGCATTTTTTCTTAAGAAATACTTGTTTGTGAACTCAATGTACGTTTTAGATATTTTGTTGAAGCATTACTTAACAGATAGGACAATATTTTACATTTTTTTAGATCGTTTTCTTTTCACGTAGGTGTTGCCCCTGGCGGATCAGGTTTGTTTTCCTGCTTGCATTAATGAAATAACAGGATATCTGGTTGTAAGCCAGGGGTAATACCTAACCAGATCTACTGTACATCAAGCCTCCCTGTGCTTTACCCCAAGAGAGGGCGAGGCCACAGAATGATCACATCAGAGAATCATTCTGTAAGGGACTGCGAGGCTGGAGGAGATGACCCAGACATAGAAAGTAAAAATGAAGGTGCCCTCTTCCCACCCTCTCAGCCCATATATATTTCGATTACTAGTTCTTGTAGGGTGAATAGAACGAAAATGAGAGGAGTGGGTAGTCTGAAAATAAGGAGTCACCTCTCTGTTCAAGGGGTTTACATCTTGTTTTAATGCTTTGCAATTATGGCTATTAATCAGATTACCTGCCTTCACCAGTCTAAAGGTCCCAGTTTCCCCAGCATAAGAGCTCACTCTGATGTTATCCCAGCTTGGTCACAGGCTGGATCAGTAGGAGCTGGCAGTCTCCTTTCTGTGTCCCTCCATCCTCGTCTCCTCCACAGCGCTCCTCCTGTCTGACAAACCAAACTTGATTGTAAAAACTGAAACATGAAGAAGAAAAAAATCAAGTTAATTAAGAGAAAAAAAAAACTAAGTGTATAAACTTTCTTTCAGACATGTGCAGAAGTGATAAGTTGAAGAGTAGCTGTTTTGGCTTTCTTTTTTTTCTTTTTCTTTTTTTTAAGTTCTCTTCTTTCTATGGAGTCCATGGAACCTGGTCAGTTGAGTATTACCCTGTACAGTGTTTGTAAGATACAAACTCAGAACACAGATTTCCCCTCTGTGGATGTTGGATTTTTTTAGTACTACTTATTCTGTCAATCAGGATCACGTCTGTCCTTTGCTTTTTCCTTTTTTACGTCAATCAGGTTTTAGAGGCCTGCGATAGCTGAGGTTGGTTTCGGCCACATATAAAACCGATGAGGATGAAGTAATGTACCGGAAACAAAAGCTGTGTTTGGTTTAGAGTCATGCCCCGTAACAAGATGAATCAACATCGGACCTCATTACGGTGGTGCAAAACCAACCTCCTGATCTGACCTTTAACACCAAAGCTGTCCTTGTTTTTTTTAGTTTTTGTTTTTTTGGGGGCAACAGGCATCTAGACCAACATGCAACACACACCTACATCCTGTGCTTTGGGTGCTTTTCAAGCTTGAATGATGTTTATCAGAGGTAAAAGGTTAATAGCTGTAAGGAGAATTGGTGAGAGAGGGGATCTTCCTTCCATCATATTTACACTTTAGCATTTAGCCGAGGGTGGGATCATTTGGACATGGCTTATATCTGCTGACAGAGAGTCACAAGGGTTCGTCCTACTAGTTTTCTGCTTTCATGTCACTTAGGTCAGTGTGACCCAGCTGCTATACAGACTTTGGAGGTGGGTGGAAAGAGTTGTTTGCATCCACACGTGCTCATGCGTACCTGGGAATGTGTGGGGTTTAGACAAATCGGCATTAGAATAATTGTAATTGTTACCTTTAGCAATCTCAAACTGTGTGAAAGGGAAAAAAAGAGAATAAGCATATTTCCCAAAATGTCAAATGATTCCTTTAAAAATTCAGCTTTGTGATTAATTACCAGTTTAAATCGCTGCTTAGCATCTGTGTTTTTGCACTGTAGCCAATGGCTTATGATACAGACAAAGATAGAAGTATAGAGAGCAGGAGCTGGAGAAAGGCCATAGAGAGGGTGTGCAAGTGTGCGTGCGTGTGTGTGGGTGCTTGTGTTTGGTAGCTGAAAAGGGATGATTTGGCAGAGCAGTAGGTGGAGAGGAGAAAATAGAGGAGCGTGCAAGTGTGTGCTCGTGTGCATGGTCTGTGTGTGTTTGTGCGAGTGACACAGTGCGTAAGAACGAGCAGTGCCTCCAGTGCTGCAGTGTTAGACTGTAATGTTATAGTACTGCAGTCCTGCAGTTCTAGGTCAGGGTTAGTCTGACCAGAGGAAAGGTCATGTGATACCACAAGTCAGAACAACATATATGGCTTGCACTTCCTCCTTTTCTCACTTAATCAGTCTGCATATTTTGAAGAGTGAAAAGGGGGATTGTGTCACAGGCTAAAACTGATCAGGTGAAATGTGGCAAAACAAATAATTTCATTACCACTAACGTAAGCCTTGGATACGTAAAGGATCATGTTGACATTTGAGGAAATGTGTATATTTGCTTTCTCCTGCAGCTGGTTAGCTTACCTTAAAGACAAGAAACAGGGAGAAACTCCTCTGTTCACCTGCAAAAAGCTCTTTTAAAGTTCTCAGTCAAGGTGTTATATGACTTTGATGTTTTGCCATTATCACAGTGAGCCATAGAGGTGCTGGTAGACAGGTTTTGTTGCTGCTAGCCTGGCTGTTTCAAGCTGTTTATCTTTATGCTAAGTTAAAGCAGGTAGCCCTAGAAGCAGATATGATGAAAGGGATGATTGAAGAGATTAATTAGGCTGATATAAATAAACGGTGCTCTTTTTTTTTAAGGAACTACCTAAAGACATGTGATGGCAGAGCAACAGTATTGGCTTAACTATACGTACTTATTTGGCCTGGGTTTGCTTATCAAGGACCTGAACTATTCTAAGATGAAAGAACTGATTCCCTGTCAGTTTACAGGAATGTGATAAACACTTTCGTTTCATTTCTTTGCAAGCTAAAGTGAAAGAGAATTCTTGCTGCAGAGGTTTAACACAAGGAAACATACATGCATAACTTATCATCAGACAAATGCACATACACACACACAACCACACGCACAGATGTCCTGGTATTGCCAAGCATATGCTTTTTTTTTTTTTTATTACTATCATTCCATCCATGGTTGGGCTTCAATCAGAGACACACAGCTTGGATTGCTGGTTTGTCTGATTGATTGGTTGTTAGTTTGCCTTATAGTGGTGTATATCATGTAAATGCTGGACTTGGAGGTGGGGGGCAGTCTTAAACAGTCTTAAAAGTGGAACACACGGCTCAAAGTGGAAATTTACTGGTGTTGTGCGCAAAAATGCAAGCCTCTCGAAATTCATTTCAAGCTTGGTGAGGAGAGCCGAGGCTCCTCCCTGTTGGACTTTCATATCAAGCTTCTCTGATTTGGCTCCGATCCCTTCCTGAGAATCATCTTTTGTGCTCTGATCTCCTGTGTATGCATACAGTATATGTATCTTTTTGCCTTGATTGACTATGAAGAAAATATATCTATTTTTTGTAACTGTTCTCTGATGTGCCATAACTCATGTTTTCTTGCACACTGTTAATATTTTGTGGATATTGCTGTTTAAAAAAGATGATATTGAGAAGTAGATAACATTAATAAAAAGATGATATAATAACAAACTTTTCCTGTATTGTTTTTTTTATTTTGTTTTGATGTTAACATCAGTGTATTTCAAGTTTACTGGGCAGATCACAAACATCAGATACAATACCAGTATGAGCCTCGCAGAGCTGCTGGTATAGCTGCAGAATATTAGTGTTTTTGATTATTATCTGCAGTTTATTGGTTTAAAAATGCAACTGCAATTTACAATGCACTTGCAGAAACATGCTCTCTGGCCTACTTGGTATACAATGTGCAGCGCATGATGCATGTAAGAGAATGCATCAAACAGAGTAAACAAAGAGCAGAGCTAGGTAAAAGTCTCCCAGTTTGGTCATTTCACAGGAATTCCATTGTTGTAGCCGTCTCAGGCCTTCACTGTGCCCTTTGGAGTGTGCTTTCAACCGTTACAAGCTTGTCTCCAAGTTTCAAACCATACTTCCCATGACCCTTCTGCAAGTCACAGCCAATCGGATTTAGGCTGGATGAGCCACGGCCTTTGAGAAGACACTCCCCTCACCAGTCACTACCCTGTGTGATTGTAAACAAGTGTGAGGTCCATGTGCCTCAATATGTTCCTCTCTCCTCTAGCAGCAGACAGGGCTGTGAACAGCCATGTGAGAGCAGAGGGTGGAATAGATTGCAAAGCAGAGGGAAGATCCTGAGATTAAGCAGAGATAATAGAGGGATCAGAGGCTTCACCCACACACACGCACAAACACACATTATGTTATTTGCATGCAACATTGTTGCAGGGCTTTAGCTGCAATATATAATGCAAAACGTACATTTTTAAAAGATTCTTGTTATGCATGTATGGAATCTGGCTAGGGAATAAATAAAAACACTTGACACGCAGGTAATGCGTCTTTCCTGTAATGCTTCATTACTTCCTGACTTGTAGGGACAGTAGGTCTGCATGAGCTTGTTATGCTTGTTTTAGTGAGTTTCTGTCCCCACCCCAGTTTCATTCTCACTGACTTATGCTCACGACAATAGAAGGGGCTAGCAATGACAAAGACTTTGCCCTAAGTGTGCATGCATTTTCCATGACTTCAGCCCGAATGTAAACTGTAGTTGCGTGACTCAGCAGGTTCCATGACGCACACATGGCTTTTGTTTTGAAATCTGAGCAGAAGCCCCAGGAACAAGAAGAATTTATGAATAAAATAATTTATTTACTTAGATAACAGAGCACAAAATAGATTACAAATAACTACAAAAAAACAATACAATCAATAAATTAACAGTGTAGCCACTTTACATTAGTTATTTATCAGAAAGGCAGCACTCTTGAAGGCACAAAGAAGTTGATATTTTTACAATACATTTAAAGCTGATCTGTCCGGATCAGACAGCACAGGCGTTCTGCATCATTGGGAATTTCGGATCCTGCCTAAATTTTTTCATCCTCGGAGTCTCTTTACATTGTTTTTTCTTTTGTTTCTTCTGGTGTCAATAGGTCCTGTGTGTCTTTAACATTATTTCCATTTCAGTTTCCATGGTGACAATTCCCCAGCAGCTTTCAGCTGCTCATTTTAAGAATGCACACCCAGTCTTTTCTACAGAAAAATACAAGTATTGTAAATGCATACCACACATAGACATACCACACATACAAACACACACCTCTCCTCTCCTTTTCTGGGACTCTCCCAGGAATGTCTGGTACAGTTTCAGCACTGCAACATTCCTGTCCAGTCAAACAAACAAGACTTCCAGGTATAAGATGGGTGTGGATGTGTTCCTTTCAAAACTACTACTCCTCTTAATGTTTACTATGTCACACCCCATAGACATTGTGAGCACCCAGAGAGCAACACAAAACAGATTGTGTTTTGATGGCATTGTAAAAACATTGTGACTTTTCTCTCTGTATCTTTTGCACAAGTACAGATTCTAGAAACCAGTGTCCAGTCCAGCTGTTTCACTAGTCTTTGAGTGGGAGTCCATGGTTTTGCTGGTCATTAAGGATAGTGGACTGGAGCGGCTACACTCCAGGTCATCCCTGCTTGAGCATAAAGATCCTTCAGTGTATCAGTATCTGGCCACAAAAGTTCCTGTATGCAGACCCTTCAGCGTTCCTGCAGGACTAGTTCAGGCACCCACTGGTCAAGGCGCCGACTCTCCTGGCAGTAGGTCCCCACTTCCTGCAGTCTGCAGTGCTCTGCCTGAGGATTCTGTGTGGGAGAAAAAAAGAATCATGTCCAGCGTTCAATTTGAATTGAACCTGCAAAGTAAGAGTAAAAATCACAAGGCGATGAGAAAGAAAAGGTGCAATATCTTAGCTGAAAATTGTGCATGAAAAAGATCACCATCTGCCTTTCAGTTACATAAGAGGTAGCCACTATGCTGAGTCAACACACCGTAACCAGCATGCAGTGAAGGTCTCTGTGCTCTTCCTGGTTCCTGTTGGCATCCACAGCTCCCAGCAGCCGCTGGAGTCGCTGAAACCCAGAGACTCGCAAGATGGTGATGCCGCTGTCGCAGCAGAAGGACTGTAGCAACGTGAAGTGGATCTGCAGCGCCACATCGTTTTCATCGTCGGCTGCCAGCACGCATAGCACCACGCTGTCTGGATCTCTGAGGGGGAAGAGAAAAGAAGAAAAATGAGGAAAAAACTGAATTCACATGTCTGGGGGTGATCAGTTTGGGCAATGAGAAGAGAAGCACAAACCAAAATTAATACTTTCAACTCACACATTAAGAAGCTTGGCTGATTCATAAATGCCAACAGTGAGACAGCCTTGTTTCTGAGCAGTTACCAGCAACTCCTCCAGAGCCAGACCTACAGACTGCATCCTAAGGGATAAGGACAGGACAGTTAGCCTTTTGTATTCTGCAATATGACAAAACATTAGTGGTATTAAATATATGCAGCACTGCTTCAAAAATCCCCCCTCTTCCATATTAATTGAATTAAAAGTCGTTAGAACACTGAAATACACGCTCAGATCAGTTTCATTATCAGTTTCATGCATGGGGATGATTGTGGTGATATAAAACAAGCCATAAATGCGCATTTTACAGTTTCAAGGAATTTCGCTGCATGTTGTGCAACGTGCATGCGTAGTATTGTGTATGCCAGTACAAAGATATTAATACTGAGATCTTATGACTCATAATAATTCATGCATAATCTCTGGATTTTGGCTTTTATGCGGGTGTCAAACTTTGACAGCACAGAAAAGATTGTAACATTTTATGCACCCAGATGTTAAATAACAGAAAGTCTCTGCGTTCCAGTCTCAAATCAAAGCTTTCCAAAAAGCACTTTAATTACATCAGCCTAAGCAATCCACACAACGGAGGGGTCAAAGGACGATCAACATACCCTTCCAGCACATGATCACGCACATGCACATGCTGAACCAACATAAAAATAGAGCTGAAGCAAGAAATCTTACTTGTTCTCGATGGAAGCAAAGCTTTCTTCGGGAATCATGATTGCAAATTAAAAACCGATCCCACTGCGTAAATGCGCGACAACTGCCGGTGTACCAAAGTTATGCCAGTCTCTTCTGCGTTTGTTGTTGGCAACGTTGCGTCACAGTTTTATAGTGAAGCTGGAAGGTGGGCGGCACCGAAACTAGGCGAGTTTTGCAATTGGCTCAAAGGAAAACCAACATATTTTCTTGTCATGTGGCCTCGTGGGTTTGTATGGTTACAGTGAGTGATGACTTTACGGGACAAAAGTACACTTGTCATTCTGACATAACTGATATTGTGCATAAACAAATACATGCATCTGTTCAAGTGAAATGGTCCAACTAGCTCCCGTGTTGGACTATGAGATAAAATTGTGTAATAAGAGATCACCTTTTCATAACAACGTCTTTACAGGACTGATGTGATTATGTAATTATGACTGACATCTAGTGGCTGAATGAAGGGGGAACGTCTATGTAACCCTCCTACTACTGAAAGACTGCAGTCATGCATATAAAGCAAGCAAGCAATTCGTGGAACTATATCATCAGTAAAAATGGACCTAGAGTCAAATTTGCAATATGTAACAAACTGAAATAAAGCATATGATAAAGCACATTGACTTTCTCTGTTTTCCTTTATTTTTATTTTTTTACACAATAAGAGCAGGACAAGGATGAATATATTTGCAAATTAATATTTTCAGAATATCCAAGTTAATTAAAATAAAAGAAGTGCACACAACAGACTCTGCTTCTAAGGATCTGAAACTCAAGTTGACTTAAGGGTCTACCTCAAAGCTGATCAGGACCCATGATTGGATCACGTGGCATCTGTTAATGACTTTAATTAAGCTCAAAGATTTTAGCTTCAGAGCGCAAAAATATAGCACTTTGATCCAGTGGCTTTTAGTTGAGAGAAAGCAGCATGCAACGTGCTGGCACATCTTTGCAGACATGAAATGAACAGTGAATATTTATAAATGTTTTTACTGTTTCACTCATGAAACAAATATAGTTTCAGTTTGCCCACAATACAAGGGTTTTACTTTAAGATCATTTGTTGCAACCCTCTTGGAGAACCTAATTAATTGATCATTTTGAAAAGGTCTGAATTGAAATGGTTTGGGATGCTTATATGTTTTGGATTTCAAATAATCTGATGTTCTTTGTGTTCTTGATAATCAGGGCGGGAAATATCACTGGATCTGTAAAGCTCCATCTGATCATTCCCTTCCTGAATTTCAGCCTGGTTCTCAAAAAAGCTGTCTGCAAAGTTCAGCATGTGCTGCACAGCACCAAACAGTAGAGTGTCAGTGTCCTGGTCCAGGTCCAGCTCCTCACTGTAGTTCTTCACCGGCAGTATACAGGATAACGGGATGCCCAGAGCCTCACTCAGCTCACGCGCCTGATTACACAGATTAAATGAGCATTATTGTCATGTCAAATTTTGACCTGCTACTGTAAATGCATCTAAAAACATCACCTTCTTCTGGATGTAAAAACTGCGATAAACATTCTTCAAGTCTTCCGCCACCAGTGGACAGGCCTCGTCTACTTTAGTCATCAGCAACAGCTGAGGAATTCCTTTGAGGGACCGGAAATACAAATCATGACTGAAACAGTTTACTGACACCAAGAAAAGGTTTACCCTTTGTTGTATTTCCCTAATATAGCCTTACATATTTACATATACATAAAACTGCCTGCTGCACGTGCTGTTTTCAATGTTTTCTAAAAAAAAAAAAAAAAAAAAAAATCAAAAGATTTTCTGCTGACCCAGCTGATTAGTCTTTCTCCGGATGGCACAAAGTTTTTCCAGCATTTTCTGGCTGAGAATAGAGACCTTGCAGGTGTCGACCACATAAACCACACAGTGAATCCTGTCACTCAGAGTCACATGCTTCTGATAGCCAGGAGCATCTGTTAGGATAGGGCCAGATGTGCTAAACTGAAGTACAAAAAAACATAGTTGTTACTTATCAATCAGCTGCCTACGTTTTTTGTATTTAATCATTTACTATTTAATCAGTTAACATGAAATGCACCTGGTAGCGATCCTTGATGTGACCTTTATAGATGTTGACCAAGTCCTCAATGTCCAAACCACCCTTTTCCTCCAGCCCCATTGTGTCACAGAGGATCAGTGAGACGACGCAACCACCTTTCCCTGCCTTGATGGTGTAAGTGCGAAACTACAGAAAAGATAGAAAATGTCATTTAATGGGAAAACACTGTACATTACAGGTAGAGCATGCAGATTCAGTTATACAAAAAGTCCTGTGCCAGTACCTGAGTGGTCACACTCTCCCCCGCTGTGCCAGCGATGGCCTGGGAAGTCATGTTGCCTCGAAATGCTGAGTTGATGGAGTTAAAGAAGCTGGACTTGCCTGCTCCAATCGGGCCTACCAACAACACACGGGCTTGGTGTACTGTTTTGATGTCAGGCTTATAGTTCAGGATGGCCTTCATCAATTGCTGTTTTTGTCTAGAAGAAAGAAAATGTACCCACACCACCCAGAGTGCAAGCACAAAAAGTTTACATGATGACAAGCTAAAAAAGATATGACAAAACCTTATACTGATGATGAACATATGATGAACAATTTAGTTTTTCTTAGAATTACAAAATCCAAACATAAATTTATATATTTTACACAAACACCACCAATAACTGTGCTGCAGGTTTCTACATACTCAGCTGTCCATTTGATGTTCCTCCAGGGCTTGGGCAAGAGATTTTCTAGGTCTATAAGTGAAAAATCGATTAATAAGAACAGGATCACTTTTTAATCATATCAATATTAATTCTCTAAAAAGTGCACAGTAAAATTACAAGCCTTGGTTTAAGCATAAGCTCATGAGTGCACGAGGCCATTTCTGCAAGTAGATGAGCACGTTTCTTAATGGTCATGAAATGTCTGTTTTGAAAGTATAACCATGGGAGACATTTTTTTAATTCTATAAAACTCAGGGATTATTTTTACACACCTTCAACTCGATACACCTCAAACTCTGTCAGTGTCAAGTCATTTCCATGCATATCTGCAGCCTGAAAGTTGAAGCCTGTGCCTGGATTTGACTGCACTTCAGGTTTGTCATCATGCAAGAAAACCAGAGCACCGTAATTTGGCCCGGTGCCTCCATCAGTGAAAGCACACTGCCCGATGATAGCTGCTACCCTCAGTGGTTTGTTTCTCTCAGCACTGATACTGTAGAGAAATGTCTTCTCATCATTGACACCCTCTCCACCTTGAGTGTAATCTTTGGAGGTGTAGGCTCCATAGATGAACCCAGCAGCATTGTAGGCTACAATAACGGTGGGCCCTTGATTGTCACAGTGTCTGTGGAAGACATTAGCAGTGAACCCATGGATGCTGGCTTTGTGGAGCAGATGGAGTTTGACACGACCGAAAAGAGAGAGGAGCTGCTTCTCCTGATCCTTAGACAAGGCGGATTTCATTGCTGCCATGATGGGAAATCACCTGATGATGTAGACAGATCAGATCAAGTTTAACAAGTTATCTCAGAAAACCACAACTGCACATGCATCCTGTGACCATTTATATAATATGTTATTAAGGGTTTTTTGTTTTTTTTAAATAAAATGTCATGTAAACCTGCAAGTGAATCATCCCACTCCCACCTTACTGAAAACTCTTTTGCTTGTGAAACACTTTCTTTTTGAAGGGCACGTTTGCTGTCTTTCATTAAAACATGTAAAATACAATCACCACCAGTCCACATAGCAAAATTGGTATGGCCCAGATCTGGCCCACACAGTGTGCTTATACATGGCCCACATGCTACAAAGAATGACGGGCCTTTGGTGGCCCAGATCTGGTTTGCCAGATGTGGTCCACACAAAGCCAGTTGCAGACACACTGGTGGTCCTGTGCTGGCCCAGAGCAGTTTCAGCTCTGGCCCCAGATGTCAGCCTAATGTGTAGCTTAATTAAGACGAGTAAACTGTCTGTCACTAGGTTCTGGATAAAGTGTACACTGACAAACCTGTCAAACTTGCATTTGAAACGTTGGTTACCATAGCAGTATAATATTGCAACATGGCATTTGTGTCTTCTAACTAAAATAGGAAAATAGGAACATAAATAGTGTCATCATTGCCAGACCTGGCCCACATCTGGTTGACATACACCAAGCTATGACACTGGTCAGTCAGAAGTGGGTTTTATTTATCTGACTTCACTTTTCCTAGTTTTCATATTTGCAGTCAGGAGAAAATATGTTAATTTACAGCTACCAATTTTATTATGCAGGATAATCAGCACAGAAAACATTTCATGTTTGATTCTCAAACAAGAATATAATGGCAGAAACATTTTCTCAGACAAAGAGAAACTGAAAGTAAAACCACCTTCAAGAAACCCGCTGAAGTGATAAAAGTCATACTTGCAGCAGAAAGATGCACACTGTGGATGAAGTTAGATGTTATCAAAACAAACTCACCTTCAGAAGACAAACTGATGCAGGAAAAATACAGTCTGTGGCACGCCGCAGTGGTTTAATGTGTTGTGGAGGTTCAAACAGGAATGAAAGTAAAAGTAAACCTTTTTTCTTTGTCCCTGTTGTGATTGGTCACATTGTAAAGGCTGTAAAATGAGTGCAACCAATAAGACTTGACATGAAACATGATTCTTCTGTGATACTGAGTTTTGCAGTTCAGTCTAAAAGCTATAAAAGCGTCTTTGATGATACACCGAAAGAAATACAGTTATGAGGAATATACAGTATAATGAGCCTTATGAATAAATTATTCAATTAGTATGTATTTGTTCCTTTATTCATGTGTATTTTAGTCATTTTCAGAGGGTTTTTTTTAAGTATAATCAAATTCAGATGCATACACATACATACAGTATTGTGCAAAAGTCTTGAGTTACTCCTCTTTACACTTCGTCTTCAAGGAACCACACCTTGTTGATTTTTTTTTTAAGCAATAGTTTTCCAGGCAAAAGACTTTTAAACTTTTTCCTTTGGACGTTGGCTGCTTTTCCTCTAAAAAACAACCTTGTAGGTTTACCCCTTCCCCAATAACAACCTCAGTCGTGATTCCCTGT